TCTCTGAGCGCATTGTTGTCGTTCCTCCAAGAACTGGACGGTCTCATTGTACCCGCTGTCTCTGAGCGCATTGTTGTCGTTCCTCCAAGAACTGGACGGTCTCATTGTGGGAAAAGGAAGAGACAAAGGAAGAGACACCGGAATATCACATGGTTTACTCTTCACGAAGCACGAGACCTCAACGAGACTGTCCAGACACATCTGGAGACTGAAGGATGAAAACAAACCTTACAGTATCAGGTGGTCCGTTGTGAGGAGAGCCGCACCATACTCTAACATCTCGAAGCGCTGCAACCTGTGTCTGGCCGAGAAGCTGGAGATTGCCTGGGCCGACAAGACCCGCTCCCTCAACAAGAGGTCAGAGCTTGTATCCAAGTGTCGTCATGAAAACAAGTTCTACCTCTGTAACTTTGCGCGCAAGGTCAAGTGAATCTAGCTGGTAGTCCCGTTGCCAAGTGTGTGTGTGTGTGTGTATGCGCGCATGTGTGTGTGTGTGTGTTTGTGTGCATTCGTGAGAAAGAGAGTGCGTGTGGGTGATTGGATAAGTGCGGGAGCAAGTATGTGTGCGGTAGGTGTGAGAATGAAAGGATGAGTATTGTGGCCGTGTGTGTGTGTATGTGAGAGAGAGAGACAGAATGTTTGTGTGAGATTTGGAGAATGTGTGTGTATGTAAGATTTAGAGAATGTGTGTGTGAGATTTGGAGAATGTGTGTGTGTGTGTGTGTGTGTGTGTGTGTGTGTGTGTGTGTGTGTGTGAGATATAGAGAATGAATGTGTGTGTGCGTGTGTATGCATGTGTGAGATATAGAGAATGAATGTGTGTGTGTGTGTGCGTGTGTTTGTGAGAGAGAGAGAGAGATTTAGAGAATGTGTGTGCGGACGCGCGTGTGAGTGTATGTGTATGTGAGAAAAGGGAGAGAGTGTGGGTGCATGTTTGTGTAGTGCTGTGGGCATGTGTGGATTTGGCATTTGTCCTCAGCTCTATTCTATATCATTCATGCCGGAACTACGTCTGCATAGCCCCAAGTCTGAAGCTAGACTTGGCAACTTCACGCCTGCACCTGACTCTTGCGCTATGATACGCATCGCCTATGACACCCCTCATAATTTCCCACCTTGCTCCCCCTTATGTTCTGGCTGCCCCTTTTGGATCCATCAGTTGCCCGATGATCGTAGAAAGACGTGAAACTCAGAGTTGTAGCAAAGCTTCCAAACTCTCTCTTGTGTATTATTTATTATATATTTGAGGATTTCCCAAAGACGTACATTGCACACTGCCTCGTCACTTGCACATCCAAGCAGGCACGCACCTACAGTGTAGCTTCCCGGAACGAACACGTACGACCGTCGTATGAGTGCAGATAACTTGACTCCATGCCACAATTGATACAGTGCATGCAATCATCGCCATAAGGATGCACATTGCACACTGCCTCGTCACTTGCACATCCAAGCAGGCACGCCCCTACAGAGTACAGTGTAGCTTACCGGAACGAACACGTACGACCACCAACAAGCAACACGGGATTTGTTTCAGACCAAATCAGATTTTATCATAAAAATAATAGTTTCTGCACGGATATATCAGTAATAGATACTTCAGTACGATGGTTGCGAGTTTGCTAAGAGTGTTGCTGTATAAAATGCGCTGTTGCATTTGTAGGTTGCTTGCGCGATGTAAGAATGTAAAGACCCAGCACAATCATGTTCAGCCAGGTGCAATGGTGCCAAAAATGAAGGAGAAGAATATAGGTTATCATGAAGGAAAGATACTGAGAAAATATATATTACCCTCTGAGTTGGAGAAGCGGGTTTCGTCTTGATGCAATCAAGCTCGGTAGAAAGAAGAGATGAAGTGAGGAAAAGCAGTAGCAAGGTGGGGAATGGATCCCCTAGGTGTTTAGATAGTTGCGAAGTCTACGGTGTAGTGACCACGCCATGGCGGCTTAGTAGGTGGGGAACACGCCCCAGGAGACTGCCTGGATGTGGGTCTTTCTCCTCCTCCAGATGGTGGGCAGCTTGATGGCCAGGAAGGTGCTGGTGGCGTACACCTTGGCATGGCTGAAGATGTCCTGGAAGTGCACCTTGCACACTGGCGCGCCCTGGTAAGACTTGATGAACGGAATGCGGATCTCCGTTCCCCATCGCACCAAAGCAGTTTTCTCGCGGTCAGCGGCGTTCATGGGCAACTGATGGTAGCCAGAGCAAAGGTTGTCACGACGGGTGTCGTGATTCCATTCCAGCTATTCACATATGCAAACCAAGTCATCATATTACTACATGTTCAGGAGTCGCGATCTGGCTTCACCTTTTTTTCTCCTCGTTTTTCACTTACAGTTCCATACGTAGTACCTCGCGAGTTCGCCATTCTGGGCTCACACCCAGACCACCGCGTGTCGACCACGACATGACAGCCATCTTGTTCTTTTCTGTTGAGTTAGTCCTTTTCCCTTTCACCTTGGGGCAACAGCAAGTTTCTTCGCTCTTGCCATATCACTTCAAAGAAACGGAAACTGTTTCAATACTCTATATCCTTGTGCGGTTTGAACTCACCCCTAGCTCTCCAACTCACTGTACCCAAAACTTAATTCCCAAAACTTCATTCCCCACAAACTGGTGCCGAAACCTTTCAAACTCTTCTAGTATTTTTGTTGAAGCTCTCCGTTGGAAGGTTCTCCGCTCGTGCTCGTACAGTTCGAGTCATCCCGGCGAATGTCTGTAGACTTTCAGTACACCCACTTCGTAGACTAGTATACAGTCATATTAGTCATGCCAAAGGAAAAGTTTCTTGGTACATGTACTCTGTACCTTCGGCGCAGCCGACTACAGAAACTCGACGCCGTGATCGATGTTTATATCACCGAAGCACAAGCCCTCGCCAATGCAGCTACATCAAGTGACCACGGGGCCGATGACCCTGACACTCACAGTGACAGTGACCAGCGTGGCTCGGCGCAACCCCGTTCGCAGCACTCTGCCCTGCTGTCCTGACGAGCAAGCGCAGCCTTCACTCCTGAGAACAATCCACTTGAGCGTGCGGGAAAGCTCCTGCATTGACCCACTGACTCCCTTTCCGGATGGAGATATGACCTGTACTTAGTATGGATGACTCCAGCGGCCAGCGCACCATCGTCACAGGGTCATTGTTCACTGCTGGCCGCAGCGACGCTCGCACTCGCATCACTGATTGCAGCGGCCTAGACTAGAGCCGCTGTGTCTGCGCCGTTGTGTGTGTGTGTGTGTGTGTGTGTGTGTGTGTGTAGCACAGTACTCAACATAGTCTCAGCGTGTGATCAGTAAGTCCTGCTTGCAAGCCGTTCTAGCCAGACTAACATGACTGTGTTATTCACTCATCGTGTACAGTGTGCCCTTACTGAACATACTTTCAATATTCCACTGTCTCCAGTGCGATGAACTATGTATGATAGTTTGAACGGATGATTACAATAACAATGATAATTTTCAATCCCCCTAAACTCCTCTCAATTGCCATGCATTGCGCGGCCTGGAGTAAGAGCGATCCTTTTTGGATGCCCAGCACGTGCAGTCCATTTTATAAATAATTATAATCCTGGAACTGATGTCTAGAAGCTGGCTAGGCAACTCTTTCCATCTATCGTCTCCCAATTTCTTATTTTCATATACATGAAACTTCGTTCCCGTCTTTCTGGGGGAGAGTGTCACGACGGGTGTCGTGATTCTATTCCACCTATACACATATGCAAACCAAGTCATCATATTACTACATGTTCAGGAGTCGCGATCTGGCTTCACCTTTTTTTCTCCTCGTTTTTCACTTACAGTTCCATACGTAGTACCTCGCGAGTTCGCCATTCTGGACTCACACCCAGACCACCGCGTGTCGACCACGACATGACAGCCATCTTGTTTTTGTATGTTGAGTTAGTCCTTTTCCGTTTCACCTTGGGGCAACAGCAAGTTTCTTCGCTCTTGCCATATCACTTCAAAGAAACGGAAACTGTTTCAATACTCTATATCCTTGTGCGGTTTGAACTCAACCCTAGCTCTCCCACTTACTGTACCCAAAACTTCATTCCCAAAACTTCATTCCGCACAAAAGTCAAGCGTGGAGAAGTACCGGGCCCCACCTAGAGCATCCAACGTATCATCGACCCGGGGCAATGGGTACGGGTCCTTGACCGTGACATCGTTCAGCCGGAGATAGTCGACGCAAAAGCGCATCGAACCGTCCTTCTTGGCAACCAGGACTATTGGAGCTGACCAAGGACTGGTGGACTCTTCAATGACCCCTTGGTCAAGCATGTCCGACACAATACGGCGCGCCGTCCCGCGTGACGCCCAAGGCAGCCTGCGGGCAGGCAGAGAAACGGGATGAGTCGTCCCAGTGTCGATTGAGTGACTCATGCGGCGAGTACGGCCGAGCTCCTGGGAGCTAAGGGAAAAGACGTCACGATACTGGGAAAGTAACTTCTGAAGCTCGGCGAGCTCATCAGCAGAGAGGGCGGAATGGTCAACGCGGAGCGCATCCCAGAGCTGGGTATGTGGTGGCGGATCATCCCATAAGTCATGGGTCAACTCATCATTCTCAGCGGTATGTACAGCGTTAATGGCATAGGCATGTGGGAGAATTAGACTATTATTATTACATACCGAAGGTTTATACAATGAATAAGAACAAATGCAAAGGAGCCATCAAAACTACGCTCCTTTCCGCACAAAACAGCAAGAAAGAACTAAGGAACAAAAGAGATCGCGTGCCTTGCGCACGCAGGCACGACAGGCTAAATCAGGTACAGCAGAAGAGAATACGTCATGATGTACAAGAATGCATAAGTACTGACGCAAGTCAGTACGACGTAAGAAGAGCAGCATGAAGTAGTACACTGTACACATCAAGGGGGGTCATTCTACTTCACCCCTCCCCCTGGTGGCCACAATAAAGGACACCAACACAATAAAGAAAAAGAATGAGAAAATAAAACTGCAAAACAGCCCAAGAAACTGAGCAAAGGCAAATATCACCGAAAACGCACGGGTTGCTGCAAATCGGCTCGGTTGCGCAAAACAGGGCCAGGCTGCACAACAGCAGGCTCATGCAAAGGCAGCAGCACAACACAATCATCCAAATCATTATCTGCAGGCACACTAGCACAGCTGTCATCAGCGCACACATCTGCAGCAGGATCATACTTTAATAAATCAATATTGATAACCTTTTCGCCAGAACCATCTGTACGAATAATGACAACAGTAGATGGCGAAATGACAGATTTAATAAGCCAACCACCTTCGTACGGCGAAAGACACTTCTGATGACGTGTTGGGCGACAGAGCATAACTGGTGTGTCGATACTGTATGGACATTCAAAGGCATCGCTCGGTACAGGATCTTCCTTCGACAATTCCATCTCGATGTGGTCACGGATCTGCGCGCTACGTTGTTGCAAATGGTCTACCCACGCACTGGATGACATGCTCGGCTGCTCAGACTCCACAATCACATTGGTCGGCTGCCAACCACACATGGCTTTCATTGGCGAAATGCCAGTTACTGAATGCGGCCGTACTCGGTAATGGTGTAGCAGCAGATCGAGATCAGAACGCCAATCTCTTGACTCTCGCAGTACTTTCCGAATCAAGGTAAGTAGCGTGCGGTTGAACCGCTCGGCTGCTCCCTGCGATTGAGGGTGCCTAACAGCTCCATGACATACGGTAACACCAAACTTGGTGAATAGGGCTTCCACGATGACGTTAACAAACTCTGTTCCATTATCGCATCGAATTACACGGGGCGGTCCCCAGCGACAGCACACAGACACAACAGCTTGCGCCACACTAGCACCATCATGGTGACGTAACGGGATGACTTCGGCATATTTGGTGAACATATCCACACACACTAGAACGCAGTGAAATCGATCATCTCCACCTAGTTCTAAAGTGTCAATCTGCACGACTTCCCACGGATGGGACGGAATCACAGCACGCGCTGGCGGGGCACGAGGGCCACGACGAGGATTCGCTGCTTGGCATTGACCGCACGCCTTGACGAACTGCTGACACAATGACGACATGTTCGGCATGAAACAATGCGAACGCAGAAATTGCCACATGGTTTCCCATCCAGCATGGCCAGTGACACGATGAACAGCCACTAATACACGCTCATGTAAAGACGACGGAATAACAGGCACAGACACTTCTTCATTCACAGGAAGCTTGACCGTACGGATCAATACGCCATCAACTACGGACAGTTGAGACTTGACCTTGCAGTACGCATCAACAGAGACATCTTCACCAGCAGTCAACTGCGCAACGACACGCGCAATAACTGGATCGTTCTTCTGTGCAGCAGCTATCTCAGCTAACGGGACAGGACTGGTCGAAATCGCGGCAGCTGTAGCGACAGTGGCAACACTATCCGCCGATGCGTCGGTCTCACGCTGCTGCTGCTGCTTCCAGTACCGCATGTACCGCTCGGGCACGTGGGTCAGTTGATCCGCCAGGTTCTGCTTCGACGGAACCCACACTACTTTGACAATCATGTCCGATGTAGCGACCAGGTCTTCAATGATCTGCAAACGACGTTCAACAAGAACTTGCTGCAATCCGCTGACTTTCACACGCTTCAAATTATCAAGCAGTGACGTCAGCCAGCCATAGACGGTTTTCGAATCAGTGTGCAAAACGAGATTCTGCACATTCCACTTGGACGCAAGTGCAAGACCCTGGATAGCAGCATCCAGCTCGGCAATATTGATGTGACGACGGTCGTTCGGCTTCCGTAACCACGCTTGGTCTTCCACGATCTGGTCACCAACACCAATAGCGACACCGGTTGCAATATCCGAAGCGTCACACCACACGCTCCAGGTGGCAGCAGTTGGGATGTTCCAAACACCTCGCACTGGGTCCTCCGCCAGCACGCGCACCATAGCTTCTTGGCACAGCCGAGTCAGCTCCTCTGGCAGCGGTTCATCCCAACCACGAACCAACGATGCGAGCCGCTTCAACCATGAACACAGCGGTCTCAGCCATGAGCAGACGGGGTAGTGGCTGGTCAGCTTCCCACACCACTGAAATACATTCCGCTTGGTTGCCAACTGTGGTGCTTCGATGTCTGTGATGTCGCGCCGTTGCCAGCGCACTCCGTCACTAGCAGATGACAGCTTCAAACCAAGGACAGTGGCTTCGTGAAGCTTCACAGCAGGCTTCGTAGGCAGACCGTAGGTCTCTAAGCAAGCAGACACAGACTCTGACTGCCCGGACGGAACAATGATGTCGTCGATAAAGTTATCAGCATCGGGAAACTCACGGATGGAGTATTTCACAATAGCATCCATCAGCTTTGGCGCCACACTAAGACCAAAGGCCATCCGCTCCATGCAGTAAGTCTTTCCCTGCCACACGATGGTCTGATACGGGAACAGACTTGGATGCAGTCGGACGTTCAAGTACGCTTTCCGGATATCCACTACTGACAGCTCCGTACTCTTGGAACGCCAATCTCTCAACTTCTCACCACAGACCGGAACGTCATTGCCAGGATGAGACAATATGTGATTGTTGAGAAGACGGAAATCCAGACAGGGCCTGACCGGTGTCGACGTCTTGTGTTCTTGGCAGGTCGCTAGCAGGGGCAACACAGCAGCTGGCTCACCATGGATAGCAGGGTCGTGAGGCACCATGAAGCCACGGTCAATCCACATGGCGACTTCGTCACGAAACTTCTGCTCTTGCGATGGCGTCAACTTCCCACGGGAATACTCGCCAAGTCCACTGCCGATGGAAGAAGTAGGTTGCTGTCCGCCTTTCCATTTCCACTCGACTTCCCAATAGCCACGCTGCGGGTCAAAGACAGCTTCACCGTCGTCCATACTAAGGCGCACAACGTTCTCGTCTTGCGTGACACCGACATGACGGGACAGCTTGTTGGCAGCAGCTGCTGGAGCAGTCGACAGTGTCGGTAGATCAGATTGCTGCGGACCAAAGCGCACACCACACAGCACATTGTCCACGTCGCTGTACTCCAAGTGTACACCTTGGTGAACCGAAATGATATTCAAGCCGATTATCATGTCTGCCATGACTGACGACAGGTGCTCGACTACAAGAAAGTCGGCCTTCGTCAGCGGCAGCTCAACAGCTTCATCGCTACGCTCGACTTCAACACAAACACGTCCCAGTATCTGCACTGCCTTACCACTAACATCCACAATTTGAGTGGCATCAGACATGATGTGCAGGTCCATGGCCGACGCTGCTGACGCTGCAATCAGAGAGTTGCTGGAGCAGGAGTCTACAGCTGCTGACAACCGATGCACATCATCAGCCTCACTCTGCCGTGCGTCCACATAAATGCGCGGCAAGCTACACGGGGACGATGTGGCAGTCACGGCTAAACAAACACCAGTGTCAGCTCCTGACTTGGCCGCGCTGGTCGATTGCTTGCTACGCTTGGGGCAGTTCGCCAGCATGTGTCCCTTCTCTTTACAGTGAAAGCACTTGCCCTTCAATTGGGGACATAAACTACGTTTGTGCCCAGACTGCTTGCAGTGAAAACACAATACACTGGATGGAACAGCAGTAGACGAGGATCCCTTGTTACTACTGCTGGCAGCTGCTGATACAGAACTTGGAAACTGGCGCGTCACTCGTTGCGCAGACCGTAATGCCTTCACCTGATCCGCACACTGGCGAATCTTCAATGAGCTCGCCGCGTTCTGCAAACGAATCTGTCCGGCAAACTCCACAGGTAATCCGGACAGGAACTGCTGTTTTAGCACAGGGTCCTCACTGACCTCTGTATGGCCACTGCACCGCAACAGTCGTCGCAGATCCGCCATATAAACATCGACAGTCTCATCAGTTCTAAGCTGACGACGCACAAATTTGACATATGCTTCCTCCTTCGTGCTGCCAAATGCAGAACGCAACTGCTCATAAATCAATGTATCGTCCTTCCGCGACGAATCATCTAACTGAGACCATACTGTAAAAGCATCCTTGTCCAAGAATAGTGGTAAGTATTCAGCTCGCTTCTCCTTCGTCTGCCATCCTTGTATTTCGGCAACAACTTTAAATTTTGCCAGAAAAGTTTCAAGGTCTTCGCTCCGGCCACCGCCAAAAGCTTTCAACAACGACAGACCGACAGAAGACGACATTCTCAGCAAGCGACACTAACACTAATCTAAGCCGGGTTTCGGTACCACTTTGTGGGAGAATTAGACTATTATTATTACATACCGAAGGTTTATACAATGAATAAGAACAAATGCAAAGGAGCCATCAAAACTACGCTCCTTTCCGCACAAAACAGCAAGAAAGAACTAAGGAACAAAAGAGATCGCGTGCCTTGCGCACGCAGGCACGACAGGCTAAATCAGGTACAGCAGAAGAGAATGTCGTCATGATGTACAAGAATGCATAAGTACTGACGCAAGTCAGTACGACGTAAGAAGAGCAGCATGAAGTAGTACACTGTACACATCAAGGGGGGTCATTCTACTTCAGGCAGCACCCACGTGCTGGGATTGGCGAAGTGTAATCGGATGGCCGCTACAATTGAGCAGGCGAACAGGCACTTTGCCCTGAGATGGATTGACCAAAGCACGAGCGACAAATACACTATGCTCTTCAGCAAGTGGGCGGTCAGGCTCCAGCAGGAGCGGCGAATCATCCTCCGTGGGATCATCAAGAACAGCCCAGGCGAACACCTCATGGTGTGGGGGCACCATAGCGCGCCCGGACAAAGGGAGGGCAGTAAGAGTGGGGTCAACTGTGGACACAGAAGACTCAGCAGCGGAAAAGCGGAGGCCTGCACCATCAGACTGGAGGGTACAGGGGATGTGTGACAACACGTCACGACCTAGAATACAAGGGTGATGCAGTTGGCGAACTACATAAATGTCATGGAGGCAGGTACTAGCACCTACAGCGATGTGGACAATGGATGTCCCGCAGATATTGAGCTTGTTGTTGTTGTTGTTGTTTATTTTACTTCGCAGATTCTAACGGGCAAGTTGCCCAATAACAAGAAAGCGAAGGCAAAGAAAATAATACTAATAAAAGAAATAACCGGGGGCAGCAGAAAATGAATAATAGCTTCAAGAACTCAGATGGTGAGCCAAGGAACAAATTTCTATGTTAAAAATAATCGCTTTTAAAAGTAAAAAGAAAAGAGCGGGTGGTACAGCAGACTTCCTATTCTGAATTCCCTGAACGAAGCAGAGACATTAGCTGGGTACATGTCACTATTACACAGTAGCAAGAGAGCTACCTCGGTCGACATCAGTGGACGTGGACTACGAGTGGATGCGACATACGAGTGGATGCGACAGCAACAGTGACTGGAATAATGGGTGATACGTTTCATGGAGCGACCGTATGTGGGATGACTGACATCTTGAACACACTGCGTTGGGGGATGGTGCGGATGTCGCTGGGTAGTGCGTTCCACAGCTTGGGAGCGGCAACAGAGAACCTAGCCTGACCAGCGCGGCTTGCGGCGGGTGGTATGTGCGCTCCGATGTCCTTCTGCAAGCGGGTACGCCGATCTTGTGACCTTGAAATCAGTCCACAGAGCCGGTTCCCCGCAATGCCGTGGATGCATCGCCAGGTGAGCAATAGCGCCTTTTGCTTGTGCAACTCCGAGATTCGGTAGAGTTCCACCCGTTGGAGGTCCGAACCATCAGCGCCGCAGATACGAAGGGGCGGCGGTGGCAATAGACATTCCTCACGAAGTCCTAGCTCCATGGCAAGTGGCAAGGAGAGGAGGCTCACAGCGGCGCCAGTGTCAACCAGAAACTTAACAGTGCGACCATTGAGAGTACCCAGGACCATCATGTCAGGGGACGTCGCCGTGAGACCTGGCAAAGCGTGCGTCATGAGGGAGGGACCATCACGTGGTGGACTGGAGGCGTGGCCCGTCGCTCCGGTCAGTGACCGTTTCCCGAAGGATAGCCAGGGCAGACTTAGGTGGCTTCCAAGCATTCTCACGCGGGTATTCTGGGACGGGTGGCAGATGGCAATCAGCCCTCCGGTGACCGCGGCGGCCACAGTTCCAGCACCCACTTTGCGTGCGGGTGGAAGACTGGGAGAGGGGACGGCTGTTCCGTGGAGGTCGAGGGCCCCCGGAGGGCATGGCAAGGCGGTCAATTTTGCTATTCAGCGACCCAAGGGCAGCGGCTAGTGCGGACAGGAGATGGGCTGCGGGCTGCGCAGCATGAAGTGAGCCAGGAGCGGCAATAGGAGCACCCGTCGCAGCCACAAGCAAGGATGGCTGAGCAAGGTCGGGTTGACCAGTGGTACGAGAGAGGTCACCTGTGGATGGCTCATTGCCCCATATGCGTTCTAGATGCAAATCCGTTTCCATGGCAGCCTGTACGGTAGCAGGCGGATTTTCCTGCAGGCCAAGGCGGAGCATGAGTGGCGTGAGGCACTCAATGAATTGGTCCCTGACCAATTGGTCCCTGACCAATTCTTCCCTGTCATGATCATCTGTGGGTATGCACGGACAACCATGCGCTGAAGATCATGGGCAATGTGGGCCAGGTCTTCACCAGGCTTGCGTCGGCGGGCCTTGAACTGGGCCTTGAACAATCGCATATTGGCAGCGGGTGGGAAACGTTGTGCCAGATTGGCACAGATATGCAGCCAGTTAGTGCGGCGAGCAACGGGCAGAGGAACGTGAAGCGCTGTGCAGCGCCACGTTGGCGTACTCCCAAGAACTGGGCCTTCTGGGCGTCTGCCCACCCATTGACAAGAGCACAATTATGGTAATACTGGTGGTACTCTACCTAGTCATCACTACCGTCATATGCCTCAGGCAAAACAACAGGGCGTGGAATCAGTGGATTGGCAGCGGCAGCAGGGGCTGCGGCGGCGGCGGGAACGGGAGCAGCAGGAGCTGCAACGGCGGCAGCAGCCTGCGCTGGGGCACCAGCAGCGGCTGCGGCTCGGGCAGGTTGAGCCATCTCGAGGTCGTTCACTGACGAAGATCAACAGCGTACGTCAAGTCTACTAATGCGTGACAGACAAACAACGGAGCGTGGGACAACCCACGGTGAATACAGAAGTCTACGACTCGGCGGAAATGAACGACAAGCTCAGAGGAGGGCCCACAGGGCGGAGGAGTGCACGTTCGTGCAGCTGAAAACAATACACAATGGAACTACAAACGGAATAACACAAAACCTGGAAACCTATCGTAAGTAAGGGTACTACAATAGTCTTCCCTTCAACACAACAGCATAACAGAACTTCAAAAAGACTCAGTGAACAGTCACTGCAACAATCGCCCAACGACAACCTAACAATGGGAACTCCGCAGACACTGCAACGAAAACACATGCAATAGAGGACAATATTTCAATAGCAACGATCAACGATCGTAACTTACGTGGCAACTTCGGCAATACCACCAACACAGCAACACTTGCTAGCAGGAACCCTTCTGGAACCTTTCGCGGACAACTTCGGAAGACAAGGACAACGGTCTGATCGCGTGCATATCCATGCTCTTACCTGGCCAGCTCCGCTCTCCGGTGATCAGTCGGACGCGAGCTCCCGAGCACCACAGCGGCCTTTCGCCGCGTGTCACGTAGCCGGCTACGCATTTCACAACACAAACCACTCCACGGTCAGATCAGGCTTCAATTCCGTCGCCGGCACTCGGCAGCAATACAACGACGGGCAATTAGCGCAACCACAAACCGCGAGCCATCGGAGCTTTTTCTCTCTACTCCGATCTTGGATCCAGTCACGAGACCAGGAACTTCTCCAGTGACGATCCGCACCGCACCAATCGTGCGCACAATCATTCTCTTGCACCAGGCGGAACCACATCGCCAAAGGCGTATCAGACCAGACGAAGCGTAACCCAGGCGAAACTCAATCGCCACGGGGGACAAAGGACAATCATCAGCGAAAGCTGAAACGAAACATGAATAGGACGGAGGCAGCGTCAGGCGCCTGTCAATCACAACAGCGTAATACGAGTACGATACCATGCATACAATAGGGCTCCTGACAATCAGAAACCATAAGCGCCAAAGGGGAAAACGAAAATCAGCGGAAGCCGGGTGATCAGCGTTCGTGGTTGGCCCTACTAATCAATAGGAGTGCCATGGTGGCGGAAGATCACAGCGTACCTGACGGCACACTCTTCCAACGTAACCCAATCATAATATTATTATCGGTGGTGTGCTTGCGCCCGTGAAGCGAGCACGTAGATCCACGTGGACAGTAAGAACGAGTGGGCGAGACGCACCCTTGGTACAGTGCGTGCAAGGAGCATCGATCTCAGCGTTACCTCACTTGATATCAGTGGCGGACAATACATTGTATTGGACTACTAAAGTCTCGGCGCATCCTGAGCAGATGGCTCGAGCGCAGCGTAATAATCATGCAACATTTTATCACTGTCCCAGATGTAGTTGCGTGCGTGATTCTTCCATAATAATATTCCTACCAGAACAGTTCGCGACTGTTTTTGTTTATCGTAATGCCGATGGAACATGCACACCGGATGTTATTCCGTGCTCAGAACTAGAAGCAGAACTCAAACTTCGAACTGGTGCCCCAGAGTGCACTGTAACCACGGAATGTTTGAGGACTGACTGTTCACAGCGTCATGCAAGACCCGAAGTCTACCATGTACTGATGTAGACCTACCATGTACCGGATGCCAAGAGTAGAGTCCAGGCTAGGCGTACACACACAACAGAACACAGTATTCTGGTTCAGGCAGGCCGTGGTTCTGACCCGGTATCGTCACAAGCGTAAATTATTTTTACCATGAGAGTTGAGAGAAAGCTGGCTATATAGCATTTTGACGCATGCAAGACATAGCATGGAAAATGTAGCGGCGTAAACGGTAAAGACTATTATGTAGTCAGCGAAGTATTCTCAGCGTAAGTATTGCAGCCAGCAGGCTATGCGTACAGAGCAGTGGCCAGAGCAGTGGGCAAAACGTGAGTAAGAGTTACACGAGTTCTGCGGGCATTTCCGCTTCCAGCGCCAGTGGGTCACTGGCTGACCGGTCGGCGATATCCGTAGTGCCCGTGTCCTTCGGCTCGGCCACTGAGGCGGGACGGGCGTCAGCGCTGTCGTTTCCGCGCCGTGCCAGCGGGCTCCTACTCCTAGAGCGATTCCTCGACGCAGC